CAGTAGTATAAGGACAGCAACCATCATGTTGAATATGGTATCCAGTCTGTTATTTTGAGTGTCCAGCCCTTCATGGTCCGCACTGCAGTTCACAGTTCTCTGAATGGACACTTCTGTTGTATCATTTACATCTGGAGGCTTAGTGATGCAGTTGTCGCTGTCAACATCAAACCATTTGAAATGTTCTGATTTGAACTTGTCTTCTTTAATATCGATCTCCATATGACAATCGAACTCATCTACGGATTCTATTTTAAGGTTCCATATCTCGTAGGTCATAGTGTTTCCTTGGAAGGAGATTTCGTTGTTCCATCGGTCTATGTGTTTGTCTCCTTTATTATGGTACCGACCTGATACAACCGGCCCCTTTGAAAATTGGTAGTCGTGCACCAAAATAGAAACGTTTTGATTGATAATGTTTGAATCAACTATCAATGTCATGTTTGTATAAACACCATCTCCAGGACACACTTTCCTAGTCTCTCCATATCTCAGTACACAAGGCATTGATTCCGTCTGGTTGCATAACGACATATCTGTAGCAGTACATGTTCCAAATATCATTGAAATCAGTCCCACAATGACAACAATACAGCCATTGCCGCATGATAATCTTTTGAATATTCCAGCATTCCAAATATCATAAAAGGGATCCATGATTGTTATCTAAAAAGTGAATTTCTCACCTAACGAAATGCCCTGCAGCCGTGCACCTGGAGATCATGCAGCATGTCATTTTTGTTATTTGCTCGTAGGTGGCGGTATGCATTGTATAGAGGGGGTCTGAATAACTCTGAACCAATTCAGGATAATAATGATGATGATGATAGTAATGATCATGAAAAATCAAATACAAAATATCCACTCAACAATAATAGTATATAGTATAACTGATTTACATAAATTGTGACAACTGAAATATAAAAAACAAAAAAGTACAATTGAAACTTGAAAGTATGGAGGTAAATCAAAGAATCAATATAAATGCAGAGACCAACTATCATAAGCATGAATTATTGAGTAATAATAATAATAATAATGATGATGATAGTAATAATAATAATAATAATGAAAAATGATAATAATAATAATGAAGATGATGATGACAACAAAATGTCTTTTTTAACCCAATGTAGCCTCATCATTATTAATTATCTTTTTCAGGGCTTCATTATTACACCATACCATAGACACTGATAACACGTAGGGCCCTTCATCTCAGATTTAACAATTGTTAAACGATGCCTTTTAATGGTAAAGTTACCATCGATGATAATTTTCATGCAGCTGGGTCCAGTAATACTTTGGGCAATCTGCTTTGATCGCTCAAACCATTTTTTAACATGTAAACCTATGGGGTAACCATGGAGACTGACCTATTTTCCCAATAACCATGGTTATTGGGAAAATAGGTCTGTTTTTACAGGAACAGTTAAAGTTTATGAATGCAATTTCGACCAATCAGATTGCTGGATTACTTAAGTGAGGTATATAATACTAAATAATACTAAATAATAGTACTACAAGTTTATATTCTGATTTTATTCAAATGAAGGCAACTTGAATGTACAATATAGAACCTGTAGATTGATGATTACAAAATGCTTAACCATTTCATTTTCTTCAAGTGAATTTTTGAATAGGAATCATTGATATTTTTAAAGATAAGGCATCATTTTTTTTGGAGGGGGGAGGGGGGTAGTGGAGTACTTTGATATTGTGTCTGATCAAGATATTTGATGTATGATGCCTGAGTTGGGTGCTGGAAGTATTTGAAGAGCATGTTTCGTACACGGTTGCTCAGTTTTATGTTACCTGATTATTGATTGATTTATTTTTTAATTTTCTTATTTGGGGGGAGCAATCTAAACAAATAGATTATTACAGGGTGCTAGAAAGCTGTTTGCTCAATACCTTGGGGCAAGGAAAATTGCAATTGATTTAAAATATCACTGTATAGACATCATATAACAGAGCTGCCAACTAGTACGGATTTCCCGTAATTGGTACGGATATTAACGACCATTACGGAATGTTGTCTCAAATTACGGATTTTTTTTTTTTTTTTTTTTTTTTTTTTTTTTTTTTTTTTAAATTTTAAATATGATTTATTGTAGCAAGTGTTGTGAAGTATGGCGGCTATCCAACACTCGCTGAGAAAGACAGAAAAGTATCAAGTATTCTCTTAATAGAAGCCATTTTTCATGGAAAACTGTTGTGATGACCGTGAAACTCAATACCTAACAACTGTGATTAAAATCACCAAGATTTCAGATAATCATGCGTCCGCGCAGTATTGGCATGCCGTTTTTTTTTTAGATTAATAGCGCCCCATAGAAAATTACTGATTTTTAGCCTTGTGATTACTGATTTTCTTTTCTGGAGGTTAGCAGCTCTGATATTAACAACTGTTTATGTTTATTCTAATCACTGTTATCACTATGATTGTCATTAAGTTCAATGGGACATCTGAAACAGCGAATGTATTTGAAAAAACATGAGATCCTTGACAAGTCATTCGATATTGGTCATCTCAATATAACAGTGCTGCTCATCATCTGTGGATGGAGGTCCATTGGTATACTTCTGTATCGCATCTGGGATCTTATGGTCCTCATCTGAAGGCTGGAGATTGAGCAATGACTCTGTATCTCCCTGGAGAAGTTGTTTTGCTTCCTTGTTAGACGAGGGCTCATCTTGATTCTTGCTGGCAAGGCTGGAAGAAGATTGAGAAAGCACTGTAGAATGATCAGAAGGATTGAGATTGAGCAAGGTATCTGTGTCTCCCTGGAGAAGTTGTTTCGCTTCCTCGTTAGAGTGTTCAGAAGGATTGAGATTTAGCAATGACTCTGTATCTCCCTGGAGAAGTGTTTTTGCTTCCTTGTTAGGGGAGGGCAAGTCTTGATTCCTGCTGGCAAGGCTGGAAGAAGACTGAGAACGCACCGTAGTCAAGTGATCAAAAGTACTTGAAGATGATAAATTGTTACATCCGATATGGTCGAGAAGTCCTGAAAACTTGTTCTGTAAACCTTTATGTACTCTAGTAGGTATGAAGTTATTTGCAGTTATAATGAACAGTAGTACAAGAATAGTGACCTCCATTTTGTTTGAGGTATCCAGCCTGTTGTTTTGAGTGTCCAGCTTTGTTTTTACATTTTCCAGTCCTTCATGCATCTCACTGAATTGATCACTGCAGTTCACATCTCTCTGAATGGTTCCGTCTGTTTTTCTTACTAGTTGTGATAACAAGTGATGTAAATTAGATATCATTTTCTTTTGCTCTGCTATTTCTGAGGCCAAAGCATTAATCGAAGCACTCGTGTTGATTAACTGATCCTCATTGCATGCTAGATTTAGCAGTGATGTGTCCTTGTCAGTTGTGGAAGGTTTAGTTGGAGGGATGCACTTTTCAACACCAAACCACTGAAAGGGAAGGGACTGGAACATCTGCCCTCCAATGTCCAGTTCCAAGTGACATACAAACTCATCCCTGAATTTGATCTTCACATTCTTTACCTCGTACATCATAGTGTCACTGTCAAACATGATTTTAATCTTCCATCGTTCAACACGCTCGTCTCCATTATGGTACCGTCCAGCTACAAGTGACCCGCGTGAAAATTCCTGATCACTAACTAGAACTTTGACATGTGTCAGTGTTAGGTCGTTCATGATGACTTGGGGCAGTCTTAATGTGATGTTCGCAGAGGCACTTTGTCCTACGCAGACCTCTTGAATCTCAGGGTTTCCTAACATACAAGGCAGTGATGTTTCTTGTGGGCAATCATGGATTAGCGTCATTGGTGTGGTCCTGCCTTCCAGTAATGTCACAAATATTACAAGTCCAACGAGAACTACAAGGATGTATCTGGAGATCATGATTTCTTGGGTTTATTTGCAGTATTGAAGTTGAGAAACAAGAAAATTTACTTTGCTCTTTTACAATACTTGACACTAACAAACAGGTACAGCACCTGTACCACAATGTCGCTACCTATTGAACTTTGCATTGCACATGCTCAGAATGCTTGATGTTGTTTGAGAATTCTTCTTTCGGATATGTTCTTCTTGGTAGAACCAGATTTAAAACAAGTCCTTCACCCTCCAGATATCTGCATGGCAATGTACTATAAAATGATAGCGGGCGTCGATCCAGTCACATATAGCTCTTTTTAATGACCTTTTGCAATGTTTAGGATTCTAGTAATGCATAAACCGTCTTTGAGGCATTATATTTTATATACTGATATACTTTCTGGGACTTCCCAAAACTGCGATTGCACAATAAGGGAATTCACATGTCGGCTTAAGGGTCGCAAGCCTGAGGAGCTTTGAGGGTTATTCTTTACAAATCAAATATTTGCATAGACCAGTTACAGAGGGCATTGTTCAATTGGTATTTATTTAATGAATGTGTTTCTTTAAAGTTTGATTGCCTATTATCATCAGACTTTGAGATAGTTAATAATCCTTTTTTTTTTTTTTTTTACCTGACTGCCAAGAAAGCATGTATATGATTGGAAGTAAAAGCAGCCAGGGGACAGAGGGCTTGAAGTTCTCTCCAAAGGACTTGGTAATGAGGGTTAATGCCTTACCAAAGGGCACAAGCGCATTGACTCGTTTCAAACCCGGGACCTCTCGGTTACGAGACGACTGCTCTGAGATATGCATATATATAAATTTTATCTTGCTCCTCATCAAAAGTATGATATACAATAGGTCTTTAAGAGCTGTTAGTGATACCAATTATTCTAATCCATGATAGGATCTCTATCTTTGTAATAAAAGATTCAACTCCAAGCACAATAAAAAATCATTCAATTATTAGTAGTATTTTTCAAAAAGAAAATCTTGCATGCACTATATTGAATAATAATAACGTTAATGTGATATGTAGTTGTAATAATATTACCAGTATCCAGTAAGTTTTCAAATCTTGATGAACAGCAATTCAGTTTCATGGTCGTTGACATAATTTTTCTTTTTTCATATTAATACAGGTGCGATTTTTCATTCTGGATGAAGCAGTGAGTATCTTGATTATTTCCCAACCACCTCATGAAAATGTTGTTGTCATTAGCCCCAAATTACATTAGTCTTATACCCTTTTCACATCTATTTTTCTTAACCCCGGACTATCCTTAACCCCATACTATCCTTAACCCCATACTATTTTTTTTGCTGTTCACATCTATTTTCTTAACCCCGGACTATGTGCTTAGCCGGGGTTAAGAAATTTCACGCGATTCACACTACGTTCGCCTTAGCCCCGGACTATTCGATAGCTCATGAATATTAATGCTTTTGCTACCGCGCATGCGCCTTTCGACTAAATGAAGGGGAAAAAACCCGCACGCTAAATTCAATATAAATATAAATTCAATTCCGATCGTGAACTGCATGCATGCGTAACGTGAACTGCATACATAGCGCGCGATAAATGCAAATTCACGACCACACGACCACGCTGTCTGTGATTGGCTGTTGCTTAGCCCCGCTTCTCCTTAGCCCGGTTCGGATTCACACTACGCAGCTTAGCACCACAATTGCCCGGCTAACCCCGCAATTGCCCGGCTAACCCTGCTATTTTGCAGGGCCAGATAGTCCCGTACTATTTGTGGGGTTAGCCCACTTTGGCAAAACGTAATGTGAACAGAAAGCCGGCTAAAATTACCCCGGGTAATTGGTGGGGCTAAGGAAGGAATTGGTGGGGCTAAGAGCCCCCTTAGCCCCACCTATTTCCCGGGGTTAAGCAATATTTGGTAGATGTGAAAAGGGTATAAGTGTGATATGTCGACCTACAACAGTGACACATACATCGTAATGATAGTTGTTTGTTATCATTCTTTGTCTTTAGGTCTCTAAAAATCTCATTGTTTGTTTAAAAACTTGATTTGTTAAATGAACTTAAAAATATAAAAGTCATGACACATACATGTATAAAAACATGAAATTGTAATCAGTGATGAACAGGAATAATAGTTCTATCCAATGATGGGGAATCATTTGAATTTGTACAGTTTTTTGGATAATCTGTAATAAAGCTAATCTTGAGCTCAGGTATGGGAATCGTATTTTGAGAGAAAATTTCTATGATTTATTCTGGATTGTATATCCTGCAGCAAATTGATTGTTTGAACCAATGAAATAAAAACAAATGCACAAAAGCTCACTGGGCATCATCTCTGATAAAAACCACAACTCCCATTTGCATATAGTGACCTGTGTTAAGCACATGATGTCAGGCGTACTTAACCAGATTTCCTTTTCTTTCTATGCTCATTACCCAGTCGCTATACATTTTCTTCCAAAATTATTTGGCACACGTCATTTATTTGTATTAAATCTTCAACATTCAGTGTATTAGTTACGTTGGATTCTGTGAGGATATATTTTCTGTATTCACCGAAACTCAAGTTTATTTTTAATTTGGTATTTCTATTTTTATCTTGGTAGGATGGCCTCTTGTCTGCTGGCTATGGAGCTCAGATAACACGTATGTGGGAACAGATTCCTAAGATCACAAATGATGGAAAGAGACTTCAGGTATAGAACTTACAAATGGACATTGAACTTTGATTATCAGGTCATGGGATTATGAAAACAGTTTTTTATTCTCTCTCTCTTTATGGACCAATGCATGATTTTGAAATGACATGTACATACCTCTTGTCACATTTTAAAGACCCTCCATGTAGGTCTTTATGCATCATCGTGTATTTGCAGGTAATAGATGAAGCGTAACTGAACAAAAAGAAAATTGTTGACATATATATCCAAGACACAGAGAAAGATGTAACAATGTAAATAGATAGCTATAGCAGATGTGCATTTTAAATTACGGTAAACATTAATTATTCAATCAAACTAACAATCGTTTTGTAGAAGCATGTTGCTCTGTTCTGATTATTTTAAATTATCACAGAAAATGGTTAAGTATGTTGTAGCAACATTAACTACTTTACATGTTAATGATATGTAGATGGGGAGTGAAATAGAAAAAAATGGAGATAGGTAAATCAAAATGTCTAGAAAATAGGGGAGGTTTAGAATGATTTAGTATGAAACAATCTTTTATTCAACTTGATACATTTTTTTCTTTCAGATGGTAGTATGTTCAGCAACTCTTCACTCCTTTGATGTCAAGAAACTTGCGGTATGCCTTCTTCTTAATCGTCGCTTCCTTGAAATATACTCTATAAATGTGTATATATATATATATATATATATATATTACTAAAGGCGTCATTAGAGGGACATTTGGAGTGAAAAAATGAGTCATTAAGTAGACATTGTCATTAGAAGGACAATATGGTGTCCTCTTAACGTTTTTACATTTTATTTCTCATAGAAGGCCCAATTTGTTTATATATCTCTCTATAAATATGTAATTCCACTAAAGGTGTCATTGGAGTGACATTTTGAGTGAAAAATGAGTCATTAAGTAGACATTAGGGTTAGGGGTAGTTAGGATTAGGGTTAGGGTTAGGTTTAGGTTTAGAGTTAGGGTTAGGGTTAGGGTTAGGGTTAGGATTTTTATGATGTCCACTTAATGTACCATGTAGGGTTATATATATATATACAAATATTAATGTATGCAATGGAGGCTGTTATATTCCCATTATATCGGAGCGGTTGAATTTAGAATAAATTAAATATAGCAATTTCAAGTTTAAGTAATGTGGGTATAAAATGCAATTGCATGAAATAAGTATTTTTATAATGTGCATTATTAGAATTGCTAAAGAAAAGTCAACATTTTAACATAATACCGTGGCACCGTAACTTATTTTTCACTAGACCGTAGATTTTTTTTTTTAAATTAAAGAATTGGAGACTGATAAATTTGGATATATTTTAGACAAACATTAAACTGACTTCACAGTTTTTAATTATTCTTCATTCTCAATTTGTTAACATGATATTTGTGTGAATCAGTCTTGCATGATGGAATTGATACAAGACTGATACAATATGGTAAACTGACATTTCTACAGTACCTTCCCCACAAATGAGAAAAAGACAATATATACCTTTTTATAATTTTCAAGGAGAGGATAGATATGCAGAATAAATATTTTTTTTAATTAAAAAAAAAACATATTTGTGGCTTACACAAATTGTTTGAATCAATCACAAATGATTGATCGATCTGTAATTGAAAACAAGTCAGAAAAAATCTTGGAACCAGCAGGATTTTAACCTAATTTATTTATTAGTTTTCAGAGATTGGAATGTTTACTCTTTCATTTACAGGAGAAGATCATGCACTTCCCAATCTGGATTGATCTGAAAGGGCAAGATAGTGTTCCAGAGACGGTACATCATGTGGTGAGTTCATGGTGTAGATACATACAAGACAATGAAGGAACAACATGTAGAAAATAAATATGATAGTGATGGTAGAAATAGAAGCATTTGAAAGAAAGAAAAAAAACAAATAAATGCAGAGTTACCAAGTATCACGCATTAGGCGTGACATCACGCATTTCGAGGGTCTGAAAAATGCTCTTACACACGACACGCGCGCTAGATTTTGAAAAACGCTATACCTTATACATGTGTTATACCCTCGCATGCGCGCTCATGCGCCGAATCATGAAAATGTCACGCATTGCCAATCTTTGAACTTGGCGTCTCTGTAAATGGGGGGGGGGGATAGAGGTGTTGGCTATGAAGTAACGATAATGGGGATGGTAATGATGATGGAGGTGTTACCATGATTCTGGTGGTGGTAGAACATTGATAAGTGGAAAAGGTATGGAGCATTTGAATTACTGGTTGCAATATAGAAAGTGTTATTTGTAGCAATGGTAATTATGATGACCTTACCAGTTACAACTCTCTGTCTGGTATCATTTCCCCAATCATTGGATTTTTGTACAATCCAGCACATTGCAGTGCACATTCTCCACTCCTCTTGGAAACATTCCATTCAGTTGCTTGCATCCCATCTAACACCTGGGTGGAAGATAGTAAATGGGAGTAGCAATGAAAATATTAGATGTATCATATGGTGTTTTAGTTGTCCAATTAGTTGATCGTAGAAATGAATTAATGGAAAGTCATATATTTTATGCCATTTCAATATTTGTTCGTTGCAGGTTTGTAGGGTAGACCCAAGGGAGGATACAACTTGGCAGAGGGAAAGTGAAAAAGTCAGAGTAAGTCAAAAGAAAATTTAAGTTATTCAGGCAAAGGAGTAAAATTAAGTAATAACAAAGACTTGAATTATTTCTCATTCTTTGTTAGAACTGTGACTTAGTTTGTGATGTAGCCTAAGTATTTCTTATCTTCGTGGTGTATTTGGCTTTGAGCAAATTTGACTCTGTGCCTAGATATATTATTCATAAGTGGGAAGGGGAACTCATTAAAGGTAATACAAAGTTTTGGTATGGGGTCATGAATTTGGTTCAAATGAACATATTGGAAGCATATGCCATCCTACAATATTCAATGATCGTTGATCGAGTATCGAGTATAAAGTTATGAAATTTTAAATAATAAACTCTTCATGTTGTATAGCTCCCTCTCAAGTTCAAAATATTAATTAAGCTATAAAACAATGTTTCTTGACTAAAATCAACCGATTAGCTATTTCCGTTGGGAAATTCTATATCACAGTACATATTCTGAGATTTTCATGGTCGCAGCTATCAGGCTGTAGGTGCTATTTGAAATTTATATTCAATTTTTCTCGAAAGCAGAAGTGTTTTAGGGGCTAAATTTCTAGTGCTTATAATACATCCACAGGGGCATCCAAATATATCAAAATTGTAAAGAATCACCATCCACCCAATTTTCAAAATTTACCAAAACTTTGTATTACCTTTAAGGTAACAACACAAATCTAGACACTGCCTATTATCACGCTTCATCCCACATGTGGAATGCTGAAGAATAATTTGTGTTACCTTTGCATGTCTTTTTATGAGGAATGTAAATGACGGTCAAGTTCAACATGTACTTTGTTCTACTCTATTGTTTTTTTTTTGATGCAGGATATAAAATTAATAGACCACGTCTTCTTCTTGAGGTACTATTATAGTACTATTGGAGTCACCTCTTGCCCATAGTTTCAACCAGAGCCTCTCAAGACAGTGTATATTACATGTATTATTATCTTTACTATTACTGGCAAGTTCAAGGTATTCTGTCCTATATGTTGCCAACTGCATGTATTATTCTATATTTTTAATGATTATGACCAAAGACTTTGCTCCGATTTTCAACTGAAAAAACAACATTTTTTGAAAATTGATTTGGGAGGTTACCAATACCGTCCATAAGCCTTGAATTTAGTTATGTCTCCATATTCTATCTGTTTTGAAGTCCATGATTTAGTAAAGTAATAATATTCTTGTTGATCGCTTTCAACCCACAGACCGACGGTGTCCATTCTGTAGGCCAAATTAAATGGGGCAGCCATGATAGAGGTTAGTTGATATTTATCATAAATGCAAATTGGTAATGTTAAAGGGGAAGTCCACTCTGATGTTAATCTAGTTTTAATAGAAGCAGATAAATGAGAAAAAGTGGTGAAAGTTTGAGCAATATCCAATAAAATATAGAAAAGTTATGAATTTTTTAATTTGTCATCAGTGTAACATAAATTGGCAACAGTGGGACGTATCTTGCTAACTCCTCTCCAATTTGCTCTGTACAGACAATTTTATAAATTTTGTATGTTATTGATGATAACAAAATCTTTGCAATAATTATATTTAGGATGAATGTAGGATTGAAATTTTCTTGAAGGAAAATATAGATTTTTAAAGTTTTTAAGCATGGGGAAAATTGGAGGGGACCCCACAAGATACGCACAAGATATTTGATTCATTGCACCTTCAAAATTTCATAACTTTCTGATTTGTAATCACTTTGTGCTCAAACTTTCACTGACATGTACCTCTCGTTGCCCTGCTTCTATTGAAACCAACGTAATATCACGGTGGGCTTCCCCTGTAAGACTCAGGTATCCCTTCGTTTTGTACTTTGCACAAAGACTTTAAAGATTTGACTATAAAGAGTTGATTACACATATCCTTTCTGATTTTTGTGGCCCTAAGCATCCAACAATTCGATTGTACAGAGTTCTAGACAAAAATAAACAGTTACTTAAAAAAGATACTAATTTTCCAATCTATTTAATACTCTTACCAATAATATAATAATTTACCAAATATATCAATTGGTAGGCAGTTTCTCTGCAAAATTTGTATGACCAGGTATTAGTCAAAACATATTCTTTCATATGATTGGTAATAAGAGTTTCCATTTAATTTTTTGAGAGGGGGGCGTTTCCAAAACTGGTCTTTACCTTTAAGCCCTAAATCTATTTAAGACCTCTTTGTTGAACAGACCTGAATTTTCTTCATGATTTTCTTGTACTTTAGAGACCCTATCTGAAGGAGCTAAAATCCTAAAGATTGACTACTTAGTGAAGGCCATTAATGAGCATCGGATGGACCAAGCTATTCTCTTCTGCCGGACCAAGATAGATTGTGATAACTGCGAGAGGTTCCTGACATCTCTAGGAGGAGGTAAGTGTCTGGTGTACAACTGCTGCCTGTCCTACCACTTGGATGTCTATCGCCTAGACAACTAGTTTACAATGGACTACTATCCCAAGGAATCCCCTGGACTGGTACTACTTCTGACTCCTGGGGGGTGTTTCACAAAGATCCTAAGTTGAACTTACCTCTAAGTTGGACTTTACAATTATGGAAAACCGTTAGCCTCTTTGAAAATATTTTGTAAAAATTATTTGAAAAGACATTAAATGGTGATTCAAATCATTCATATTTTCTGTTATCAAGCAAATTTCATGTTCTTGATGTGGAATTTATGAAAAGTCTAAAATACTTCAAATTTTGCTTTTGAATATATTTATTTTAAGGCTACAAATGGCTCTCCATAATGTTAAGTCTAACTTAGTGTTAAGTTTGACTTAGGATCTTTGTGAAACACCCCCTGGACTACTATCCCCTTGACTACCTACCCCTGGACAACTGCTACTCACAATGGAGTACTATCCCATGGACTACTGTCCCTTAGACTACTACTACTTCCTGGACTACTCCACTCTGGACTGCTATTGTCCTGGACAAAATCTCCTGGACAACTACCCTCTGGACTACTACCCCGTGGATACTATCTCCTGTCTGGGCTACTATCCCATGGATGACTACTATTGCCTGGACAAACACTTCACTGAAAACTACTCCAACTACAAGTACCCCTAGATAGATTTCCTCTTATTGTAACTAAAACTAACTACCTCCCATAAGAATATGTTTGTATGTGGGTCTGTGGGGTAATGTATAAGGGGGATAATTTTCCAAGGAGGGAGTGGGTAATTATCAGGGGTTATTGTCTTCGAATCCTTTTGTACCTGACAACATTTGGCAGAACTTTGTATATTCCCTTCAGCTGCACCACAGTATTTATACAAACGTAAAAGTTTTACTGACTTGATTTTTTGTTTTATATAAGAAACCCTCATTCCAAAGCTTTTCCTTTACGTACTATGGTAGAATAAGCATATTTTAATGTCTTTTGAAAAAAATTGGCAGAATTCTAGGAAAAGAAGTTCAAACTACTCATTTCTAAACGAGATGTGCATAAACAAATAGTAAAACAGAGAATACTCTAGACATTGCAAGACTGCTTTTCGTAATTATGGGAGCCATATGATATTTGATGACACCGTCAGTGATAATTAAATTGTCAGGATTATTAAATACTATTAGGCTAGCTTTGTATGTTTGTTTCAGGTCCACGTGCTCCGGCCAGCCATCAGTACTCGTGTGTGTGTCTCCATAGTGATCGAAAGCCACCTGAACGAAGAGAAAACCTTCAAAGATTTAAGGTTGGTGGGACTCCTGGGGGATGTAACGAGCTCGTAGTATGAAGCACTAGTAGTACAGTTGTTATAACGTGTGTGATATTTTGGTTCTATTACTATACAGTACAATGTAGCAATTTCAATCATAACAGATTTATGTTAAGCAATGTTATATAAAGCTGTAGCAGCAGAAATGTAGATTATTTCATTTTATTTCATCCTCTCTCATGTGGAAAGAAAATATACCATACTCATTTCTTTTACTCTTAAAATGATGTATTTATTAATTAGTTGTATTATAATAGATTGACTAGCAGGACCCGCGGAAATCCGCGGGATCCTAGAGGGGGGGCGGGGGTGTAAATAGATATATAGAGACTGTCTAAATTAAAACCACCAAGAACTTTATTTGCCATTCAGGCCATTAAGAAATATACATGTTAAGCGTCCCCGCCCGCTTCCTTTTTGGGAGCCGCCTCCTATTTTTTTTTTTGAAATTTTTTGAAAAGTTTTTTTTTTTTTTTTTTTTTTGAAAGAAAAAAAAACAGCGTCCCCGCCTGCTTCCTTTTGGGGGCCGCCTCCTATTTTTTTTATTTTTTTTTCTATTTATTTTTTTTTTTTGAAAGAAAAAAAACATGAAAAGCACTGCTAAAATGTATTTCTGATTTTAAAAAAGAAAAAAAAAAATTGTCAGCCGCCATCTTGAAAAATAGCCTGAATGTCAGGAAAAATGTACGGAGCGGCCATTTTGAAAGAAAATAAAAAGAAAAAAAAAGGGCCTCCTCCTTCCCATTTTTCGAAAAAACAGGAAGCTAAACATGTTTTTTTTTTAATTTGGCCTTATATAAAAATTTAAAAAACGATCCAACTGTACCGGTAGTTATTCTTTAAGCCACTGGAACTGCGTAGAGTTCCGTAGTGTGGCGTACCAACTACGCAGAAATTAGGCTGCGTATTAATGGGGAAATAGTCCCTGCGTAGGTTATGCGTAGGCTGGCGTACAGGTTTGCTTATGGTTGCTTACTGTGTGGAAAGCTTTTACTGCTTTGTCGATCTGGCGTAGGGTAGCATACTGTTGCGTAGGCATGTAGCGTAGTGTTGCGTATGTAAAAAGGCGTACTTTCTACGTCAAGTTTCTACGCCGAAAGTACGCGAAAAAAATTAAACATGTTGAATTGTTTTCGTTCATCTTGCGTACCCAGTTCCGTCCCTCAGCATATAGTAATGTAGGCCAGCGTAGTTGGTACGCAACACTATGCAACTCTACGTATTGACCCCACGCCAATTAGTGACCCGCAAGTGTCACAAATAAAGTATTAAAAATATGCTCATCTGACCCTAATTAAACGCCTAAAACCCCTGAGCTTTCGGGGGTTTATGGACCCTTGAAATCCGTGGACCCCACGCCTATACACTCAACTCGCTGCAATCTGATCTCTCCCCCCCCCCCCACCAACTTTGAAGAACGTAACCCCTGAGCTTTTTGGGGTTTATGGCCCCTTGAAACCCGGGGACCCCACGCCTATATTATATCTACACTCGACTCAGGACCCGCGGAAATCGCGGGATTCTAGAGGGGGGCGCAGGCAGAAAATTAAGATTTTCATTTCGGGGGCTCTATTTCAAATTTTTGGAAAAATTTTCGTGGGCTACTTTTTTCAACTTTCGGGGGCTCTTTTTTCTGGGGTTACTTTTTCATTAATTCATCAAAGGATATAGGCCTTCACTTTGTTGAGATTTGTTTAGAAGGCTCAGGTTTCAGGCTACCTACTTCATAATTGCCTATTTAAAAAAAAAAAAAAAAATTCTAGTTCAATAACTAAGTTTTCATGCATTGATTTGATGCAAGAACTGTAACATAATATACCCTAGATTGTGATTATTTCTGACCATGAATTTCGATAATCATTCTTCAAAGTAAAATTTTCACAAGAAAATCAGGTAGTCGTTTAAAAACGTAGACATGAGTAATACTTTTACTAATTCTAAGCTCAGGTTTCGTAAATCTATTCACGAAACTATATTGAAATCGCGGCAATAATGATGCAAACCAACAGATAACAATTTCAAAGTGTCAAATCTCTTCGACTCGAGCTCAGCTCAGCTTAACTCACACACACTACAGCGTAACTCCATAGCTCGAACACCGGCGCCGCAGGCGTCGGACGCCTGCGGTGCTCGGTGCCGGTGTTGGAGCTTCCTGCAAGCTCGTCTCAACTCACACACACTGAACAGAAGCCCTGCACTGTATGAAGGCAGCTTGCGACTAAACTGTCAGTCCAATGGTTTTCTTGTGAAAACTTTCCTTTAGAAAATGATAATAAAAATTTAGTATAGGTCTAGACTATATGGCCGTAGTAATCACAAAATAAGCTTTGATTTCATACCTCCATTCACGAAAACTATATCAAAATCGCGGCAATCATGATGGAAATAGGTCTCTAAGTTTGGACGTGGAAGGGATCGAAGCTTCGTGTGTATCTCTGCGGCTTGTGCAGCTACTACAAAGGATATCCTATACAAAGATGCTTTACTCGGGTAAGCCCGACCGTGTGCATCGTGCATTTAATACGCAACTTAATGTGAGTTGCTCGTCGTCTGTCGTGTGTCTACGGATGTAATGTTGAATATCCATGAGGTATCTCTGTCGTCACGCATATCCTGCATTATGCATATCGCGTCTGTTTTCGCCCCGGACGTCGACACGGAGGAGGACCTCGGGCGGAGTATAGCCAATTCCACAGAGTAGACTCTCCCGCGGACGATGGCACCGGGCACGGGTACCCCGAGGGGAGGGTTCAGGAGGAGATAGCCGCACCAACTTGGGTCGGCGATCTCATTAAAAAACAATAGAATACAAAGGCTCGCGGAGACGTCGCGCCCCCCGCGGAGCCTTAGCGTATTATTATTATAGATATCCCTTTGTTAAACAAATTTCAGTCTTTTATTTGTTAAATTACTCAAAAGATTTATTTAGCAATCATTTCTAGCCCAGTGGTATTACATCGATACCTTGATAATACAAATCATAATAGGGGAACCTAGGTGTAGTGGTGAACCTGCAAATCCCAGCAAGTTTAGGATTAGGATAGATCTAAGGTTTACAACTCCCTTTTCCTCTCCCAGGCTAAGGTGATGCAATAATAATGATATTTTCTTCGTGTTAAGCATTGTGATTCTGCTTCTGCCAAGACTACAGCAAAAGAAGTTTGCACAACATTTTTATGCCTCCGCCACCGAAGGTGGTGCCGGAGGCATCATGTTTTCGGGTTGTCCGTCCGTACATCCGTCCCGTTTGACCGTTATCACAATATCTCAAGAACCATTTAAGATTTAAACTTAAGACTCGGAAATAGTATTTATCACCATAGGAAGACGATCTGATTAGATTTTGGAGTACGTAGGTCAAAGGTCACAGGTCACAGAGGTCAACTTATGAAATTCCTTGTATTGAGTTTGTTAGCGCGATATCTCAAGAACCATTTGAGATTTAAACTTCAAACTTAAGGATAGTATGTATCACCAT